CACTGATATGAAACAATCAAAACTGTGTCGTACCTTTCTTGTGGCACCTCTTCCAACTAAACAATCCAAACAGTCCAAGCAGTAACAATGAAAACAACCATCATTACTACATAACACAAGTTCTCTTCCTTCACCGCAAATGCAACAGAATGACTATAAAATAAACAGTAAACTGTGAATGCAATATTTCAGTATATTGAACCCTTACCGACTGACACTAAAGCACATGCAATAAGTCCTGGGATATGAAGTCTGAATCTTAATTAGCATATATTTATGGCATCGCATTCTAATTTACATAATTCATGTATTGTATAAATTCTATTCTGAAAGTCAATCCATATAGTAAAGCAGTACCTGGTAGCCATCATCATCATAGAGAAATGCAGTCTCCAAAATACTTTGCTAGTAAGAGAAAACAAAATTGTGATAGTTACATACATTTCTCAAATGTGGATTTTATCTAACAATACATACAAAATGTACATACCATTAATATCAACTTTCTCAACCTTTTCACCACCAGTTCCCTCTTTTCATCATAAAGTCACAAAATAGTCCCATTTATAGTCTGCACTTACCTTCTTTAATTTCTTTTAGTGAAAATTAAAAACTGATTCAAAATTTGTCTGTTGACTCGAAAATTAGAGTTTATGTTCTGAAATTTTGAAGGATATAAAAAAAAGTGCAGACAAATTTGGGCGAGAATGTCTACTAGTGAAAAGGTTAAGCCGTTATTGTGCACTAGCTTTACCACTAAATATATAAATTGTGTTGTCATCATATAATGCATTGTCATAACAGGTTTTAAAGCATGACATACATAATATCATAGCTTACCTATTCTGTAAACTTGATGTAGGCATGCAAACTTGATGAGGACAGAAGTAAGTCAGAAATGTCTTTACAGTAAACAGTGAATACATGTTTCAAAATGTAGATAATTTTTAAGATATCTTACCCGACATTCATCACATACTTCACCTTCAAATAATGGATGTTCTGTAATGACATCATCATCACCACAAGCAATGCAATAATCTAGAATTGGAGAAAACATTTGCTGAAAATATAGCATAGTTTATATAGCGCTTGACATCCATCAAATGTTGCCCAATGACGCTTACATTTCACAGGAATGCTTGATGAAATAGATGAGTTTTTAATCTTGATTTAGTGTGAACATAACACATAACTTGAGATGCACATCTATGTTACTGCACTTGGTAAAAATGTTGTAATTTGTTTTGATTGTGTATTGTATCAAGCTTAGCAATTTTGTTATCACAAATCTTTCTCTTGGTATTCCATCTATGCTGTACTTCAAGAGAAACTGTCATGGATACCATAAATCCAAAATGACCACCAGTCAGCCATATTTGTTTGAATGATAAAAAACACAAGTAATGTAGTTTCTATTGTTCAGTAGTAACCATTTTACATCATAACAACTACAATTCGACAACTACAATGTATGACGAATATTTAAATCTTAAAAATGTTTGGTAAAGGCTGTCAGAGATATACGGCTCTGAAACAGCATTCATTGAAAAAAACAGCTACCAGTCAGCCATTTTGAATCTGCAGATCTGAAAAAGAAAATGATGTGCATCAAGATTTAATAATATCCAATGTATGTACCGTGTGTGAAGGAAATCCATCAATACACAACCAGGATCTTGATGTGGAATGACTGAAATGTTTGATTTTGATGAATTTTGGCTTTTGGTACATATATATCTCTCAAAATGTGTGATGTATGTTTGAAGTACAAAAATCAAATCACATTTTCGGACTTCGTCTGAATGAGAATTAAAAATGATATGCAACTGTAACCCAATGCAATATTATCATGCCAATCATGATCCAAAATGTCCAAAGTGGCTACATGTCAGTCAGTCATTTTTGTTTTGATTATCAAGTAACTTGACATGCATATTATAAAACACAATGAATACCTTTGTGTAAAATTTGAATGTGATTGGTCGATGATTCCTGAGATATTATTCTGGATGACTTATTAATATTATTAAATTAATAGTCTCTGTTTTGAGCAGGTGTCCAAACGAAAGCTAAAAACCATACACCTCCTAAAAGTAAATCATGCTTATCAAATTCAGTTGTTATCAGACTGTATAGAAACACCAAAGTACAAGTCAACATTTGATATTGCTTTGGTAACTAGTCAAATGAAAAATTTAAAGCGAAAGGGTCGTCACCTGCGCACGCTCAGGAATTTAGTCCCAAGCGACGATAACAACACACCCTAAAATCGCAAAGGCTCATGTTTGTAAACAATGACACGCTATGGACACCTGACGCATGCGTAGATGACGACACTCTCGCTTTAAGATTTAGTAGAATGGCAAACTATGCGATATAGATTTATGATCAGTTCTGTATCATGTCTCACTTTAGAGTTATGTACAATATCTATTTGATAATACAATGAATACCATCACTGTTAAATTTGGGACACAAATTATGTCATATGGCTTTGAAGTACAATTATATTTCTAACCTCTCAAAGTCTTTTTTCCATGCACAACTTTCCGCATCTTCTCAGCTATAACAAAAAAAAAAACAATTAACAAACAAATTCAAATGAAGTCACTCAGATGACATTGCATATGTCAATATTTCTGTAGAATTCATTTGATTTTCAATGCAAGTACAAACTTTTCACAAAATGGAAGATAAATAGTTTTAAAATGCACGTACATGTGTCTGATGATTTATTATGTATACAAATAAGATCAATTCAGACCCATCTGACACAGATGTGACTTTAAAGAATTGCAGAGCTAAGAATTACTAATGGGTAAAAAACAAACATTTTTGCAGCCATGAGTAGGGTCAATAATA